TGAAAAGGGAAGGTTTGTAGTTACGACATAAGGAACATATCCGATATCATCAGTGAAACGGTTATTCCATAACGGTCAACCAACTCGTGACGGCGTCCGTAAAATTTACGAAGGGATGATTTCAACTTCACCATTTGGAACTCTTGGTTTAATAGCTTCCTTGTGAGCAGTAATCCTCTATCAAGGAAATCATGATAGGAAATACAAGTCCGGAATATCGTATCAATTGGGAGATATATACTCCGTATGCAGGCGCTACTGGAATGTTGCTACATAGAAATGGAAAGTTCACAATTAGGAAGCTGAAATCATCTCTATTGTCGTAAAGTTTTGTTTTTAACCGACCCTCATTGTCAATTTCTAGATGTAAGTCAAGATATGAGGCAGACTTAACTGTATCTGTAGTATCCTTTATCCCTAGTTCGATGGGATGGATTCATATCTTCTCGATATTTTTTATCATCTAAATTACAACATTTTTTTCAATGCAGTCTTCAACATGTTTTTTAAGGACAGTCCATTTAGTCTTTACATAACACAATTGTCCTCGCGCAACTTCATCTACCGTGACATTCGTTTTATATCTGTCAACCACATTTTATTAGTTCATTACAAAATACTGATACATTTTTGATAAATGTCCATATGGCATATGCCATCCACAGTCCCTTTAAGTAACAGGATCAAAGGGCGAAACATTCCCAGCATTAATCTTTCACATGCTTTGAGAATGTTGTGTGTTTGCTTTTAAAACGTTCCTGGTGTAGAACATCATGTGGTTTACTTGATCACGTTAAATCATTTTAAAGGTGGATTGAAACTTGTTAATTACTATGGCCATTTCTAGACAAAACAACATTAAATGCTGTAGTTATATCTTTATTGTCAATCTGATTGCCCCACCTTCTCATTTTACAAGTGTGTAATTCTACGCATGGGTTTAATCTACATTTATATTTTCAAATTCCGTTTGCAACATTTAAACTGTATAGTTAATATATTTGGAATATATATAATATGGAAGGAAAAATGCAATGAATCAATGAATACGCAGTATAAAGAAATCTTTATGCACCCAGACTGAGCATTCTCTTAATGATCTCACATCAACATGTCCAGTTCAATCTGTAATGTTACAGACCAGTTGTGGTTATGTGGACTCTTAATTCCCCTCTTGTTACTCCATTCTTTGAATATTTCACAGTTCTCATCAGGGTTTCTATCATCAGTAAAAATTATGTCAGGATCCTTACATAAGAATGAGAAGTACACCTACTTTAACTTCATGGAAATGGCTTGTTTATGATGCATGAAAGCCTCTAAAACAGAATCTGCTATTCATGAATTACTATGTTTCCCTAATTTAACACTTGTTCAACCACTGTTTTCTAACCAATCACATAAGATTCTCAACGATTCAATTTCTATATGAATACCTAAAACAAAAACATTCTTTGTTCTGCAAGAATATGTATGCCGAGTCACACTATTTCGCTTTTTCAAAAAGATTGATGACAAGTGATAATTGATACATGTCTCGGAAAAAAATAACACATTGTTGAATTGTATTCATGGAATTTCGAATCGATGTGATAGATTTGATCTCTTCCTGAAACATTGGTCAATGCAGACTGATATATAAAGGCGGATGACCATTTGTTTTGGCTCTATATTCGTGGACTGATGTCCAGACATTTTTAATGGTTTCATTATCATCTGCTTCAAGCCATCTGTGTTATATTTTTGTTAACTTATTTATACCATGTAAGGATAGAGTTGCACAATTGACTAATTGTACCAGGTTGGTTTGTATGTATTTCTGATTAGACAATTGACCAGAATGCATGTCCATAAAACGGTAATTATAAGATGTAAGTATGAAACGCATGGTTATCTTATTCTATAGTAATATATATATATATCATATACTAAGTTAGAGCAATAATACGAACAGTTGTAATGGCGCATAACATATAGGTGAAAGTACCACAGATTATAAGGGAAATGCAAATATTTCAAAGCATAAGATTATGACGAATTTGCCAAGTTAGACTTAGAAGATGCTGAATGTAACGATTATTTAGCCGTAGATGAATTCTTGTTGTTGTCAATATTGGCCACGACTGCTGTTGTAAAACCACCAGGATTCGAGGGAGGAACCACATATTCAATATAGGAATGATTCAAAGATGGAATCTTCTGGTATTGTAGATACGTGGATAATTGAATCTTTTATAAATGACAAACGTGAACTGTACATTTTGGTTATTTAGAACTTCCTTTTCTGGTCATAGCATTCATAAGAAGGCATATATACATTAAGAGATTGGTTTAGTTCAGTTGAATGTAATATTAAAGAAGAATAGAGAAAAACACACAAAAGTAACTTTGAAATGGATAGCGTCGTATATGCCTCAATAGAATAACTCGACGGCATCTGAATATTTGGCCGAAGGATTATTAACTAATGTTTTAATGACTGTGGAAAAAACTTTTGCCCACATCATGTCTTTTCGAACTACCAGCATGTGCAGCTTTTTTCAAATACCGTTGTCATGCAAACACATTGTTGCTGTTGCATATTTAAATGCAACACCAAAATAATCATTAAACATGCAAATGCCTTGTTAATGGCCTGGCAAGCCTGAGATTACTGTTTTTTATTAGATCATTACTATGTCCTCTTCCAATTGATCATAAAGAAAACTGTTCGAATCGAGAAGTATACATTCTAGTTAAGTCTAAATTAAATATTGGAATAAAGTCAGTGTTTATAAGTGATCCCTCGTTGTTGACTACTGTTCTGCAAGAATGGTACCGTAGTTACGATTTTCTGGCGTAAATACAAAATCTCAATCCTGGTATCTATGATGAGTTTATTCTATACATTCCTCATTAATGTTTTGACGGATGTCTTTAGTGCAGCATATAAATGTGGCATGCACTTGGTATTATAGGGCACTTAGGTTTTACTGCAGGTACGTCAAAATAAAACACTTCTATAAGGGATATTTGTTGATTTTTATATCTTATGGCGGCCATCTTTAAAAATAGCCGCCATATTGAAATTTCAATTTGGGTCCATAGCTGATATTGTTTGAAGCACCTAGCACTAATAAAATGACAAATTTGAACTAGTATGAGGGATATTTGTTGATTTTGATATTTTGTGGCGGCCATTTTGGAAAAAAAGCCGCCATATTAAAATTTCAAGTTGGATTCACAGCTAATATTTTTTGAAAACCCAGCACTACTACCATGCCAAATTTGACCTTAAATGTGACCTTATATAAGTGATATATGTTGATTTTGATATTTTATGGCGGCCATCTTGGAAATAGCAGCAATATTGAAATTTCAAGGTGGGTCCATAGCTAATATTGCTTGAAACACCCAAAACTACTACCATGCGAAATTTGGTGCTTTTATCATCAAACCCACAATTTTTTCACCAATCTGCCGGACTACTTTGAATGCGGGAGGTCATGCGTTCCGTTTCTAGCTGGGACAAATCAACGACTTTTAATTTGGTTGTTGCTCTCTTTCCACTTAAGATGCAGCTTGTCAGGATATGAGCAAAGTCTCATCGTTTCGGAGCTAGAAGTGTAAAGTAATAGAAACAAGACCAAGCTTTTCAGCTTAGTACAAAGCAGCTTTTGTAAAAGAGAATAGGTTATAGACTTTCCAGATGTTTTTTTTCACCAATATTTGAGAGTAATTTCATTGCATTCATGACAACTACTCTGTTCCATCTTCAAACAATCTTAGTGTTCAATTTTATTCAAACAAAAGAGAAAAAAGAATAGTCAATGATAGTCTTAAGTTTTATCCTCATTGAAAGGTGTAGTTGAAATTCAATAATTTGAATTTGTTCTGTGTGCCTTTTTCGTCAATACAAGTCAAAAGTACCATCATTCGTCAATACAAGTCAAAAGTATCATTAGTCGTCAATACAGGTCAAAAGTATCATAAAATACTTAATGTCAAATTTCTTCTATGAAGTCTATGTTTAATATCTAGCAAAGATTTCCTGTGTACCCATATTACAAAATTTATTGTATTGGGATTTATCAATGCAATACCTATGGCATGCCGTCAGTGCGTTTTAATGAAACTGTTTTTTTTTTTAATTTTCTATTAAATATCATATGGCTACCGTATTTCCGCTCTTCAATTGTTTAATAAATCGATTAATAGAACGATTATTGACAATTGTTTTCCAAATGTAGAAAACCCTTTATGAAATATAAGATGACTTATCAATGTTCACTTGTTCCTACAGTGTATAATATGACACTGTGTGATCCAGAAGAGAATCATTTAAAAGTACAACATAACCCATGACACGACAGTTAATCAATCAAGGAACGTCTCTTATGTATTTGAATAATTCCTATGATAATACATAAATGATAATTATTACCAGTTGCCCACGCCAGGTGACATTTAAAAGTAATTCTACTAAAGTATTTGAAGAAGTTTAAACTCGTGAATTTTCATTTCTCTATTACGGTTCTTTTCTGACATTATACGCGGTAGAAAACATCAAATGAATCGCATAGATGAACATGCAAAGTCTATTTTGCTTGATTGTCAACATGGGTTTTTAAATATCAAAACTTAGTGCTTTTCTTTTAGTTTTTATTGTAAAAATCCATATTTTCCTATCAAAAAAGTTTTTTTGTTTCTCCATTAAACAAGAATTCATTTATTTCTAAAAATGCACCTAATCGAAAGTTAATGTTTATCTAACGATATTTCGTTAAATTTCGAATATGTCTCGACACTTTTAATAACACTGTTTATCTGTTCAATATAAGAATAAGGAGATGTGGTATGATTGCCAATGAGACACTTATCCACCAAATTTCAAATGAAGTGGATGTAAGCAATGTAGGCTACCGTACGGCCTACAATCGTGTAAAAGGAGAACGATAGTTATGTTTTGTCAAAATTGACTGACGTATACAAAAAAAAATAATTTGAACATGTACTTACAGAAATTATTGACAACATGAGGAGAATGTATATCAATGGTACCACATCTGGATACAAAGTAACGTATAGCAGGATTTCAAGAACACCTAGAAATTCAATATCTCGAACATTTTCTGAGATTATTTATCGCCGTGGAAATAGATATCGACAACCAAACAGTGAACCAGAAACATCAACTACCAGTCATGGTAGAAGATCAGCGGTACGAACAGCAGGTAATCGCTTAGTAAAGCCTTAGTTTTTTGGTTCAGTTGTGTCGCTGAATGTTTTGTTTTATTTGGTGTGATTTTTGTTTTTTTACAATAATAATTGATTGTTTTTTTTATTATATTGTTTTACATGGGTTTGTCTGGCCTTTGCATAAGACAAAGTTCCCTTATAGTTTCTTACACTTTTTCATTGATTTCTAAAATTTCTAATTCACATGTACGTATGCACAGAAAATGTTAGTTAATAAAATTCGCCATTTTTTAGAAATGATCTAAGTGTTTAAAACGGTAATTCGTTATCACTGTGTAGCATCACCACCGGATATAGTTACCCCCGAAGCAAAGAAACAATGACAGCAAAAAGTACCTAAAAGTATTCTTATCCCCGTACAGTAAACAACAATTCGCCGTACAGTTTATCCGCTTTATTTACATGAATTTTGTGTACAAAATAGTTTATTTCGATATTAGCATTGACAGTTCTAATTTCCACAGAGGTTATTTGAATCTTGGCCCTGCACCTTCAGTCATGGTTCGTTGACTTTGAATGGTTACATTTTAAAAGTATTACCATTTTAATTTCAACATTTGCTTTATACAATCAAAATTACAAAAAGAAGAGACATATCTCTGTGTCAACAGTTTATTTGTAAAACTTTGCACCGAATAATAAAATTATTTCAATTCAAATCAAAATTAATTATTATGCATCTAAAAGACAATATACAGCCTATCTCTAAATAAAACTACTGTGTTTTGTTAGAATGTTAATCTCGTTTCGTTTATTTTTGAAAAACATTCGCTGAACTCGTTCAAAATTGCAGGTTATCAATACACGCACTCTGTGATTTTAATAAAAACATTATGAAAAGTGTTAATTAAATTCAGGGCAAATTGGTCCTATTCATGAAAACTGAGATAATTTGAAACACATACATTACCAAAGCACACTTGGTGTGGCTGTAGTCTTGGGAATAGTACAAAAGCAAGTAACAAGACCAAATCCATGCATGTGTTTACTATTTTTTGTTAACAACTGGGAATGTTCAGGTTATGTTTTATTTCGATTTCTTCAAATTCGATATTACAGTAATCACGTTGGATTAACATTTAATAATATTTGCAATTTTGTTTCCAATACTTGATATCTTTAAGCAACTTTGGATGATAAGAAAAAGTCATAACTAACAATTGACAACTTGCAGTAAGACTAAATAACCTTCGTATGATTTGGTGGTAGAATTTTGTAAAACGTGTTTGATCTTGCTTTTTAGGCAGTGGTATTTTAGGCACATGTATGATATATACGCTATTATATACATGTACCGTAACAGATCGGGTAAATTATACATGTATTTTAGTTTGTATACAATGATACCAAATTGGTTGATTCATCTCCCCTTTTTTATTTGTTTGCAGTGCATTCTATACCAAATATATTTTCAGTATCCCGAAAGATTGCAAATAACTTTAAAATTTATTTTCACTGTTCTGAATTCGATACCAAATATATTGTCAGTAACCCGAAAGATTGCAAATTAAATTAAAATTTATTTTGACTATTCTGAATTCGATTTAATGCATTCGCACTTGTTTATTTTTTCCATCAAAGTCTGATCTTTAACCTAAGTTGTCATGAAGTGATATGTAAATGTCCTAAAAAAAACTTTTAAATTGAACACAACCGGTTTGCTTATGTGTTAATCGGCTGAATGCTACGCGATTAAGTAATCCTTACGTGAATCTTTAGAAAACTTGTCATTTAATGTTACAAAAATGTACCTCCTACGTAGATGTTTATCATGTATTTCGTAAAAAATTTGCACTTTTACCTGGCAACAGATTATATCTTAACACTTTTTTCACTTTTAGATACGCAATTTGCATTTTTTCAACCCTGCTGAGACAAATTTTAATCAAAATGCAAACTTTAAATCGTATTTTTCTTGATAAACACAGTTATTTAGTGTTGTATTTAAAGGTGATATGAATATTTATAACTCCTTCAATAGACATATTAAAGTGTTTTGATGTCAATGTTTTTCTTTAAATTCTGTGCAAAAAAAAAAAAAAAGAATCAGTTATGAATGGGAAAGTGTAAAATTGTTAATATTCACACTCTATATGTAAGAAAATTGTAATCGATATCCAATGACAAGCGAAGTAAATTTCATTCATTGAAGAGTTGTGGATTCCATTCATCAATCATTCAATATAGATGTACAAGTTAACTTATCCGACATTCGTACAGCACAGATTATAGCCTTTTCATTTGCTATGATTAAAACGGAAGGTACCACTAATAGGTCAGGAACTCTTACCCTTCCTGAGCACCTGAGTTCACCCCTGTTGTTTGTTTGTTTTTTTTTTTGTTTTTTTTTGTTTTTTTTTTTGGGGGGGTGGGGGGGTGGTTCGTGTTGCTTAATCCTCAGTTTTCTGTATAGAGTTATCTTTTGTAGGCTTGTTCGTATTTTCCTGGGCTTTCTTTTTGGCCATTGTGTTGTATGTTTGTCCCCTGGATATCGTCTCCTGTTGATATGAAAATTACTGTTCATTTCATATTTTCTTTTGAGTTTATTCTGCTGTGCCCGAGTTTCCCTAAATTAGATACAGAAAATCAAAAAGTGAACATTTACCGTAATGTTAATTTGCAGGAGAAAACAAAGTACTTTGCCGGAAAACATATGATATCCTTGTTCTCCTTACGATACTTTAGAACATTTCAAAGACGCTCGCTATTCTACCCGATGTTATTAAAGCTCGTATAAAGAAATACTTGTATATATCTGACAATGTACGTAGTTTGTATATTTACCGAAAATACGTTGGTCAACGCGGTTTTGCAATTTGTAATATAAACAAACAACATACTGACACATTATCATCATTATTTTGTTTTGGCAACCTTCTATTGGTGTGTTCATTTAAATTTAGTCTGACCGATGTACTATAAATTTTGTTACTGACAAGAACAATATGCATTCGACACTGGCCATGCAGACGTCCCAGCGGTACATTTGGTTACAAAATGTATGTAGCTCGATCCTGAATTATCCTTTGAATGTGTTGACTATACAAAATAATTATTTGAAATAAAACTATATTTTTATAACGAAAGTGACAGGTTATTGTTGTATGTTATAAGCTTCGTGTAAATGGTAAAAATCCCTTGTTTGTTTCGTGTTACAAATTAAAACGTATTTGTTAAAGTTTTTTTTCTTTATTTGGGTGGTACATGTAATTCCTATGAATTTCATATCAATTGATTGTGCATGTTTTATAATGAATCCTACATGTTCTAATTGATATTGATTGTTGTTTACTCGGAAGATACTTTTGATATTATTAAACTTACGGTACTGTGGTATATATGTTTTAAGCCAGGTTAAAGCCACCATTGTCTGTGGAAAACGCATTTTCCAAGTCCGGAAAGTGACAGTTGTTTCCCACTCGTTCCTTTGATTGATCGTATAGTTAAGCGTTTGGTTTTGTCAGGTTTTATGGACTTCTACGTTTTTGAATTTACTTAGTTGGAGTTCAGTATTTTTATGCTCCACCTAGGGGCATTATGTTTTTCGATCTGTGCGTCCGTCCGTTCGTTCGTCCGTCCGTCCGTTCGTCCGTCTGTCCCACTTCAGGTTAAAGTTTTTGGTCAAGGTACACAATTGTAGTTTTTGATGAAGTTGAAGTCCAATCAACTTGAAACTTAGTACACATGTTCCCTATGATATGATGTTTTGACCCCAATTTCACGTTCCACTGAACATAGAAAATGATAGGGCGGGTGGGGCATCCGTGTACTATGGACACATTCTTGTTTTTTTTTATAAAGTTGATGATTGGTTAAAGTAGAACTTTGATTTTTTTTTTATCACTTTTCTTAAACTTATTGATTTCCTCATAATCACATAGAACCTTTTTGGTTGTCGTTTTTATATAAATAAAAGTAGATGTGTTGTAAATGGCGGTTAAGCAGCAACCCAGCAGCAAAATAACACCAAAATGTTTTTTACAATTTCGTTGAATAATAATCATTTCAGTTCAACATCCCCCAGTCAGCCAAGACCTTCAGGTGGAGGACATAGATTTTAACGTCTACAACAACAGCAAAGATCACGTGACTGATGAATATCATATAAGCGAGACTGGAAGAGATTTGGTTGTGAGACGTGGACAACCATTTGACATAACCATAGCATTTAACAAAGACTATGATCCGAAGAAAGATGATCTCAAATTAGTTTTCCTAGCAGGTAAAGATGTCGTGACTATATATGTGCTACATAATGTAGTTTTACCAATTTAGCTTCTCAATAGTCCTTATGTCTCTAATTAAGTTACGAATGCCAAATATGATCAAATATTGAGCAAATACTGATTTTCCATCAATAGAACCTGAATTCAAAGGTTCTGATGTCGTGTTGTGCAAACTGTATGTTAACATTTGATGATGATTGTGATTACTTTTCAGTTTTGATTATGAAAATTCTGATTAACTACTTGCCACGTACATACTGTTTAAGATCAAACAAACGTCAAGGATAATGAGAAAGAACACAGTTATCTCCCTTATATCAACTACAACCATGGAGAGCTTGTTCTACGGGATGTAAAAACACATAGTCAAGTACTTTCAGATAGTGTCATTTAATCAATGGAAGGATATTGGCACTATGCAGGTTAAAGACTCCTCAAAACAAGTCTATAAATTTTCAAAACATCTTAAAATCCTGTCGAAAGTTCTCGTCTTCTATTATGGTTGAACCCTTCTGTGGAACTTTTATCAAACTATTAACTGATTACCAGTTTGTCAATAAGACAGGTCCAACAGAGAAATCAGGACTAAGAATGTAATCAACTATAGGACACTGTACGGCCTTCAATCATGAGCAAAACCCTTACCGTATAGTAAAGGTCCCGGTATTTGTTAGCTGAAATATTGACCACTAAACGTTTGGCTAACAAAAACTGAATTCAAACGATATATCATTGTATGGTATACTTTTCATCTAGGTATGTATTACAGAAATGTTGTTGTCTCTTTGACACATTCCCCATTTCCATTCTCAATTTTATGTTAAACATTGTTAGGTTTGCTTCTCCTCGAGGTAGCTATATGTATATAGTAATACAGAAATTTATTTGTGAATTAGGCATTTATCAAAACATTTTACAAAAATACAATAAAGGTTAAAAAAATCTTTAACAAGGTTTAAAACGTTTAAACAAACATGTCTTATACAAAAGTTTACAGGTACATGTGGGATGAATGATATTAAATTTTTAAGATAAGGGATAAGCCATTAAAAAGCACGTCTAATTTACTTGATATCTGTCTTGGCAGGTAAAATACTTGACACCTTCGACCTAGACAAAAAGTAAATATTTGCAAATATTGAGTTACAAACTACATCAAAATAAACTCGGTAATCCATTATAACCTTAATTTTGAGGTTTTCATTTAATGGAATTCATCTTGAATAATTTAAAAAAGGAGCATGAAAGTAAACGTACTTACTTAAAACTAGTTAAAAATGTCCATGTGCCTTTCTTAAGTCAGGAACCTCCAGTGGTTGGCTTTAATTGTTCTTAATTATAAAATAATGTTTAGGGGTGAAAGTATAGCAGATGTTTATAGCCATGAGGGTATTAAGAGCTTCCCTTTGCCTGATACAGTGTGAGATGCTGAAGTATGTTGAAAGCCGTTTCATTGACGTATACACATATATCCTTTTAAATAGAATAAACTAAAAGTAATTAGAATAATGTTTTGATAGGTAGCAAACTTGATGGCTGTTATAAAACACCGACCATTTATAATTCTATTAGGAGAAGGAAGGAATAGTTTCTTAAATATAAATTGTTTGATTCTGAATTGCTCGAAAAAACTGCTTCAGAAGGGATATTTGTTTCTATTGAAAATTAGTATACGAATTAAAAAAAAAAAATAACATTCGTGTTCCTGTATGTTATTGTATAGATTTCTTTATTTTTGTTTTATGTTGAAACATTGCTCTTTCCGATACCCCTGTTTCCCTCCACACACGTACATACCCCCAATACGACTGATCAATGACTACAGGTGAGAAAGTCTGTACACGAGAATAATGTGTTTTACAAAGTTTGCTGAGTCAACATCAGGTACAATACTCGGCATTTTTTTTTGTTGGAACAAAATTTATAGCAGTATAGCAATGAACAATACACATTTTGCAAGTTTGTCAAGCAACAACATATAGTCTGTAAGATATTTCAAACTTCACGAGAACTGGAGAGTCTCTACTCAAGAATCTAACAGACAATGTATACAAGAATAGGATTAAAATCGTTTTTATAATCGTAAGGATATCTCACGTTAGATTGATTTGATCTTTATTCATTTTTCATGCTTATTTTTTTTTTACCTGAAAAAGCTGTTGATTTGTTTCCATCTTTTTACAATATACAGTTAGTTTATTCAACTATAATACTTTATTTCTCTCTCTACTCTTTTGAAATCTCTAAAAACACACCCTATTACTGACTATCGCTACTGCAGATACAATAATATCAGTGTTCCCGATCGCCATTCAAAACAATTATAAGAGTAAAAAATGGGATCGGTGAACGTTTTTAAGAGGCAACAACACACAAAGAGCAGGAAACAGCCCAAGGAGCCATCAATGCGTCTTCAATGCCAGGGGCGGATCCAGGATTTTGGAAAGGGGGCGTTGTATTTAAAGTATAAAAGAAAATTTTTTTGGACCTTTTTTGGCTAAAAAACGTAGAATAAGTGTAAAATGCACTTTTTTAACGGTTCCTGACGTGGGGCATGGTTATTCTATAGTTAAAGTTTGGACTTTTTTGATGCCGTATTCTCCCCATTAATTGTCTATTATAAAATGATTGGATGGATTCAAAGCTATGTACTAATATATTTTATGTGGGATTTGTCAGTAAAAAATGGACATTAAAAAATTTAAATTCTTGTTTGTTGTATGGTTAGTTAGCATAACCTCACAGATTTCTTGTGGTAAACAAGATATACGGCTATTCAATGAAATTTACAATACGATCGACACCAAGAAAGACAAACTAGCAAATTTTATCCAAATGTTTGGTTGAAATGTTTCACCCAACTGACAAGGGAAGTGAGGGGTTCCAAATCAACCAAAGGCTTCGAATGAGTCTGAAATGACAATGAAGTTGTGACAAAATCGACAAATGGAGACATAAAGGCCACACCCAGCAGGCAGGTTGCAGTCGGGCCTTGAAAAAAGTATTCAGTATATTAGTTTGGCAAAACAGACATTCCGGTCAGATATGGGATTTACATGAAAACCACCCCCAAAAAAAATTACGCCCGTTTTTTATTCATCATGTTCATTTAATGCTAAATAATTCTGTTTAAATTTTTTTCTAATAGCAAAAAAGTGGACAAGATTATTGTTTTCAATAAAGATACGGCCAGAATTTTTGTTTTAAGGCAAAAATCAGGGTCAGAATTTTTTCTCTAAAATATCTCAGACTGTCCCCTCAAATCAATCGGTCTGTACCTTAGACTTTAAATCTATCTAGAGCTTACTGACTGGGGATCATTATTCAGCAATGCTATTAACGGGCTGGGGCGTGTGGGGTTAAACATGTTTTCATAGGTAAATAATACTGCTGTGGAACTTTTTTTTTCATGAGAGTGTAATAGAGTATTACTTTCTGTTGGGTGGAATTGTGAAATAGCAGTCAATACGTTCTTGCTCAATCCTTTGTCGCTTTGAAGGCGTCATGCTTGTCATTCTCAGCCTAAGCAATATGTTACTGTAATTTGAATTTCAAAGTAACTGAGTGACGTTTTTTCGAAGTACTGGTCAACTCCACCAGTAAATACGAGCAAAAATATCTTTATAAGTAAAGAATTGCCACATAAAAATTAAATACACGGGAAAATGGCAAAGTTCACGAAGTCTAGTCTGATTAATCATTTTACAAAAAAAAAAAAAAAAAAAAAGTGCAAGCAAAGGGGGGCGTACACCCTCTAAAATATTTGATATCGTATACAACAGATTTGCGTCTGCTATTGCAATACAAATGGATTTTGCCGTCATGTACAACAGATTCTGATCGGTTTCTACCTATTACATCTGTCGTACTGATAGCCGGTAATAAGGTGTGTGATTTATTGTCGGATAATTTTATGCACTTGTTGTTTTTTTTTTAATTTTATTTAACAATGACTAAAAAACCAAATTACAGGAGATAATCCAACGCCACCTAAAGGTACTCGAGTTACACTCATCCTTTCTGACAAAGACGAGGAAAAAGAATGGGGTGCATGGATAATGAAAAATGAGGACAAAGAACTTACAGTTAGGATAAACACGCCTCCTACTTGTTACGTTGGAATCTGGCAACTGCAAGTAGAAACTATACAAAAGGCTGACAACAAGAAAGTTATATTCGAGTACACCCATGACCAAGATATTTATATCCTGTTTAATCCATGGTGCAAAGGTAAGTCAGCATTACTAAGGAATTGTTGATGTTCAAATTGCAACTTGTAATGAAAACAAATTTATACTGAGTGTCAGTAGTAAAATTATATACCCCAGCATACTAACACATCCGACCAAAAAACAAATAAATACAAATGTAAATATAACCCATTAAGTACTAGTATGTAAATGGAGCTTTATACATAACTTAAACAAACTGATTAATGCTCCAATCACCATTGTCAAATCCCTTCTAACAGTCTAAGGCATGACTATCATATTTAGAATTTTAAAAAAAACCGACCATTTGAAAAAAACATGCAAACATTAATCTGTTATGTATTTAGAACGTTTACTGTAATGGTGTACATGACTTTAAACATTGATTAATTTTAAAGATGATCAAGTATACCAACCAGATAGACAACTGTTGGACGAGTATATTTTGAACGACACAGGGAAAATATATACTGGAAATAGAAAGCAAATCAATGGCAAAAAATGGAATTTTGGCCAGGTAAAATTAACTTTGTTTCTTTCTTTATAAAATAATTAGACCTAGCATATATAAGGATATTAAGGAAAGCTTTCAAGCAATAAAACGAAGCATTTATTATAAATCCTAAGTTAGAAAAAAAACTATATATTATAAGGCAAAACATATTAGTTTCGTTCATTTGACTGTGATTGATATTAAAATTACATTATACGGTTATATTAACCATTGACTAAAGAGAGGTTCATGTAACGGAATAGTTAATGAGACTACAATTTAACAACCCACAACTCAATAAACACGAAATAATGGACTTCTGCAGAATACAGAATACCATCACTTTGTCATCAATGAAAGATTTCCAATTCCACTAGCCAAGACAAGTATATACATTTGTTTACTGGCTTCAAAAGTTACAAACCCTATTGTGATTAGAAAAGAGAAATATGGTAACCTAGATTTCTCACGTCTGATAGTAGGACACATGCCGCGGGAGATTCCGTTCTGATTTCTTGGATGTATAAATACGCAGCCACGTCGTGTTGGAAATGGATGTTAAATCCCATTTTCTATGTTGTTTAAAATACACTCGCCAAAACTCGTTTAGGGGCCGGATGGTGATCTGTTTCAAAGCAAAATTTATTTCTCTATCAAACATGCCGTCTGTTTTTAAATTACAGTCTATATTTCAAGCCCTTCAACCCCGTTGTTGACCCATCTATTTACTGTAAACGGTAAACCTAATTTCGAAATGTGCATGGAATATTTACAGATATGTACCACTGAATGGTAAGCAGACAATAATCAATCAATCAACGTTACACTCTTTTGAAAGAGATATCTCTGTTTGTATCAGCTGCACTTTTACAGTCTTGGTTGGAATTTCGTGATGTTTGTAACAGGCCAAAGTTCGTTTGTTTTGTTTTCGATCACTTGCGAGTAGTTTGTTTGGTCGGAGGTAAAAAAAAAACAAAAAAAAAAACACGCACATAAAATATTTCAGAAATTTTTTTTAAAAATCAAGAAATTAGGACTTTCTTGTGACATGTGAGATTGATTCATTTATATCCTAAAATACTAATTTAAATTAGTTAAAAACTAAAATATTATGTACAATGCATGTGTTACAGTAGTTTGCTGGAGACATTTATTGAACATGAATGATTTTGATTTTCAAAATGGCATCATTAGATTGTAAGGGTTTTTATTTATATTGTGTGTTTTTCATGTTTGGCTGATAATCTGACGATGCTTTACAGATCAAAAGATAAGCATAACCTTATTTTGTATACTTAGAGCTTTCAAGGTACTTATTCTTTATGATGCATTACATATGAAATTGTAATACATTTAGATAGGCACTTGTTTTGATAAACATTTCAGAAATAATGCTGAGCTTAATGATGTTTAAAGATACATTAATTTTTGAACTATAATATGCTATGAAAAAATGCGAAATAGGAATTAACATGAATGGACGACCTTAACAGTTTTTCATTTCTACAATACCATTCATATAAATTGCACTTACATTTGCAGTTTGAGGAAAACATCCTTGACTGTGCCATGATGCTACTAGATCGTAACAATTTAGCATGGACCGTAAGAGGAGATCCAGTAAAGGTTGCCAGAAAATTGTCAGCAATTGTAAGTTATGTTTGATATAATTCTTTACAGTTATAATTTTAAGTATTTGAAAAAAAATAAAACTGTGAATCTTTATCTACTACTTTTATTAAGAAAATGTAATCAAACACTACGTGTCAATACAGACGCCCAAACGAAATAACTTAATAAAGCTACACATGTAACGTAGAGTTCGGACTATAACGCATTTGTACATAGATTACCATATAAATATATATACATATCTGACTGTTAATGACGTCTTTACACTAAATCCATTGGATGTTGGATGTGTACTGATTGATGTTTTAGTTTTAGATGCATGATTTTTTATATTTAATTCAGTTGTTATTGGCTTTGAACTAGTTGTCAGTAACTGCGAGTACTCTCAGATCTGTACTTTGTGTATTTGTTGTTGTTAGGGATGTATAAATACCCTTCCTCGTCCGGTCTGTGTTTTTGTTAAATGTTTTTCTGCTTTGTATCGATTTGATGAGTTAAGCCTTTTCAACTGATATTTATAGTCTGTTCTTATGTTGTACTGTTACACTACTGTCCAAGGATAGGGGAGGGTTGGAGCCTTCAAACTAGTTTAACCCCGCCACATTCTGTATGTGCCTGTCCCAAGTCAGGAGCCTGTGATTCAGTAGTTGTCGTTTGTTGCTGTATATCATATTTGTTTTTCGTTCATTATTTCGTACTTAAATCAGACCGGTAGTTTCTCGTTTGAATTGTTTTACATTTGTCATTTCGGGGCCTTTTAAAGCTGACTATGCGGTCTGGTTTTACTCATTGTTGAAAGCCGTACGGTGACCTATAGTTGTTAATTTCTGTGTCATTTGCTCTCTTGTGGAGAGTTGTCTCATTGGCAAGCATACCACATCTTCTTATTTTTATATGGATATACATATTAGTTTAAATTGGGTTGTCTACCGTCTACCAGGAAATATAATTCAAATGTATAATACATGTAGGTTCAATCTCCCATTTCAAATGCATTATAATACGTCTAATGGGTCTGATATAGTTTATGGTATACCGCTTCTTCTGACGTTACTGACATTACTACATAATAACATAATCTAATTGAAAACATTATATATAGGATAGTAACGTTTTCTTCTTATCATTGAATATTATGAAGATAAGAAGATGTAGTATGATCGCCAATGATAAAAATTTCCACCTGAGACGGAAGGACAAGGATGTTACAACTACAGGTCAACATACAGCCTTAACCATTGGCAAAACCCGAGCCATAAAGTTAGCTACAGCAGGACCTATCAAGACAAAATATAAACAATTCTAAAGCAAACCCAACAGCCAGCTGATTAATGCTAAAAACAGTAAAAGAAAAACAATTTTACAGAAAGAAGCACGGTGACCGTTTTTCCATGTGTAAGAAGAACATGGAGATGACATAAAAGAAAGATTTAATAAACTTTGTAAATGTAAATTTGGCTGGACAAATTTAATCGTTTTTGGTTTAAAATTTTTAAAATTATAAATCTACGTCGATGAAACAGTATATAAATAACACATAGCTGAGAGGGTGATAGAGCAGATTGTTACCCCGAGAAAACATTGTCAACTGAGGCGAAGCCAAGGTTGACAATGTCTTTTCGAGGGGTAACAATCTGCTCTATCACCCTCTCAAATATGTGTTATTTAATTTATTATACTGAATGTTCTGTTATTACTGTCGATTAAATTTCAAATTCAAAGTAATAAACTATGACGTCTTGTACATAACAACCATCCGTATTTAATAACGCGCACACTTGATCAAGCGTCTCCATGAAGGGTAATAGAGTAAATTAACACCCTCGTATTAGCCAATCAAAAAACGTGAAGTATAATAATAGTTATTATTCAGAAATGACATTTAAAATGGTTACTGAAGTTACAGTTTTACAGATTAAAGACCAGTGCCTATAAACTTTTTCCGTCTTCTTGATTGCCCCAATGTGAAAGATTGTGAATAACAGAGACCATCTAAGGTCTGATATCAACACACATTTGTTTAAGGGACCAAAAAGTATACTAGAATATGAAAATATAGACATCCTTCTATGTTGCTTACCCAGGACGGACATATGTCAAAGCGTGTTGGGTTTAAAATATGTTTTAGTACTAAACGTTCCCGTCGTTTTCCTTTGTAATTTGATAAATTTTTAGCCTATTTCAATCCTTTACTCACGAATATTCGTATGGTCTCAAGTAATTAATTTTTGCATTTAATATATATTATAACATGAATTTTCAGACCAACTCGCAGGATGATAAAGGAGTTTTAGTCGGTAATTGGTCTGGAAGTTATCATGGAGGAAAATCTCCTTTAGACTGGGCTGGAAGTGTGGCTATCTTAAACGAATATTACAAGACAAAACAACCTGTACGCTTTGGTCAATGTTGGGTATTTTCAGGAGTAATAACAACGCGTAAGTGTATCTTAAAAAACAAATCTATGTGTCTCCTCCTGACGGTGGGTATTGAATAACTTTATGTACAAAATAATTTCTCTCTTTGCAGTACTTTGTACGTTGAAATAGAACTTTTTATATTTTTCTATTGAATTAGAGAAAAAAAATGGTACCAGAATTACTTAACATCAAAAAGGAAGTAACTTAATGGTTTATACCACCAATACTTGAAAGTAAGATTCCAAAATAATCTAAAGGATATAATATCATTTACAACTTTTCTTTACAAGATATCTCATATAAAACTTCTATACATTCATCCATATAAAAATAATTTGTTGCAAGCTATATCTGACACATTTCGGATACCGATAAATTTAAATTATCCCCGGCTTAGTATATTTCTCGGATTTCGATTGGCTAATGCACGTCGTTAAAAAAACCATAGACCCTGGTGTGCTCACCCATATACCACGGTGTTACTACCTATTACCCCGGGTAACTTCCCGCACGTTTTCCTGAGTTCCGTGGTTGTTCCCAGTGATATGTAATCCAATTACAATGTTATCCTTTTATGCCGATGATTGGCATTCATTTAAGTAAATGCATCACTTGGCTACCACGTCGACTAGAAACGGGATATGCAAATGACCCACGTTGTTGTTACGCCGTCTTTAATGTAACGCTCGCTCGCAACATTGAACGCCAAATTTGATTTATCCTAGTTTTTATGTCTCTTGATTAAAACATCTGATAATTGACAACCTATAGGGTTCTAACTTTCTAACCCTACATCCCGTAAAAATTTGTCAAATTTCCAAATTTCAATAAAACATTTTTTAGCATAATAAAAAAAAACGCTGTTCTCATGTTACACTTTATGTCCGAATTTCCCTAAAAGTCGACCGATTCGGACTAAGACGGGAATACATTCATTATCTAAGTTCATGTCCGTACATATTGGTATTATAACACCCTTCAGTACCCTGTACACCTGTGTTATTTTAGGGTGTAAAAATACCGATATCTACGAAACTTATAATCGTCCTTTTTGTAATTACTTGATCAAAAGATTTTGAAAAGAAAATTGACATATTAAAATTTCAAAACAAGCATTGTAACATGTAGTTTGTTTATTATGAAGTTTGTAGAGCTCTTGGAATTCCTGCCAGAAGTGTAACAAACTTTGCATCTGCTCACGATTGTGATGGCTCAATTTCAATTGATAGTTTTTGGTCAGAATCAGGAGAACCGATAGAAGAGTTGAACAGCGATTCAGTATGGTAAGAAAACATCATTGATATCTAACTAGGAATACACACGTTTCTTGCCCTGGACATGTATGAAATATTTGCCACTGGACGTTAAGAAATCACAATCAATCATAGCATATATACATTTTGTGTATTTTTTCGATGAAAATAACAATTAGCCAAATAAATGTGACCTCTCCATTATGATATGTTATTTAAGCAGCGTGTGTAAGGTTAATATTGTATTCAGTTACTGAGACGATATTAAGGAAGATTCCGGGTGCGGATTCTTTTCAAAAGTGATATATTTGCCAGCGGTTGTACTTGAAAAAACTAAAATCAGCTTAACATTGAGCACTCCAACTGTATAAAGTAAATTAAGACATCTTGTACGTAGAAGGTAGAACTTGTATGTAGAATGAAAACTTGGGAATATGTCTTATATCTTATTAGTTAAATTGGACACAATACATATCGCGTAGGGATTTTTAAGTTAAAATGGACACAATACATATCGCGTAGGGATTTTTAAGTTAAAATGGACACAATACATATCGCGTAGGGATTTTTAAGTTAAAATGGACACAATACATATCGCGTATGGATTTTTAAGTTAAAATGGACACAATATGTAACAGTAAATTTGTTCCGGTAGTAAAATTTGTCCGCCAGATTTTTTTTCCTAGTTAATCAAGTCCATGACCATTATTTTACTAGGAATGTATGTCCCAGGACAAAATTTCCTAGGAAAATAAGTCCATAGCTAGTAAATTATGTCTGGCACTTATTTTCCTAGGAAAAATTGACCTAAGACTTGTTTTTCTAGTAATTTTTATTATATTATAAAAATTAATGAAAATAAAAAAAAAAAAAAAATTTCTTAGTTAAGATGGGAAAGTTTTATTTTGTTCCCTACATGGACGTTTTTACCTAGGAATATTAATGACATGGACATGATTTCCTAGGAAAATTAGTCTGGGGACATGAATTTTATTAAGATATTAATGCACAACTCTTTAACAATATTAAAACATAAAAATTGAATTTACATTGTTTACATATAAATAATTTGTTTCATTAGAATTTTCCTTTTAAATAAAAGACATAAACGTTTTTAACTCGGCATATTCATGACTTGGACAAGATTTCCTAGGAAAATTAGTCTGGGGACATAAATTCTATTAAAAAAATTGATACACAAATCTTAAACAATATTAAAACATAACATTTATATTTACCTTTTAAAATAAAGGGCATGGACGTTTTTCCTAGGAATATTTATGACATGGGCATGATTTTCTAGGAAAATTAGTCTCGGGACATACATTTTATCAAAACTATAAATACACAACTCTTAAACAATTAAACATAACATTTAAATTTCCATTGTTTAAATGTAAATGATTTGATTCATTAATAATTTTTCCCATAAAAAAAAAAAGGACATGGACGTTTTTACCTAGGAATATTAATGACATGGACTTGAATTCCTAAGAAAATTTGTCTGGGGACATAAATTACTAACATCGGACTAAAATTACTAGTAAATTCTGTAACCATGGACTTTTTATACTAGTAATATATGTCCGCCCGTACATATCGCGTACGGATTTTTAAGTTATAATGGACACAATACATATCGCGTAGGGATTTTTAAGTAAAACTGTAATTTACAAATGTAGAATTCTATATCTTCTCTTTCCAAATGCTAAGGTCAGGAAAACTTTATTGGAACACTTAATCTTGCCTTTGTAGTTTGCATTCATCAAATAACTTCCGTGGAATAAATTGAAAAATCGCCTTCAATCTAAAAATAATCATGTCTGCTTTCCAATAATTTTGAAAATTCCTAAATACAATTTACATGTCTTAAAAAACATTTCTTTATTCATTATTTGTCTAAAAAATTTACAGGAATTTCCATGTCTGGAATGATGTGTGGATGGCCAGACCAGATCTACCACCTGGATACGGTGGATGGCAGGCAATAGATGCCACACCACAAGAAGCCAGTGACGGTAATGTTTGTTTTTTTTCTTTTTGGTTAAGAGACATGTTTATCTCAAATATTCATGTAATTATGAAAAGTATTTTGATTATCACATATGATTTGTAAGTTTATTATATTCAAATATACATGACATGCAAACTGACAAATTTTTGTTTTGTAATGGAAAAGGATAATTTCTAAGAGCATTGATTTTTATCAATGGTTGCTTCGAAACTGCAATACAAAAAAAAAAACTGAATTCCCTCGTCTTCACAAAGTCATTCTATTTATTTAGCCCCTCCACCCCACGGGTGACTGGGGGAATTGAAAATATGGTCTTCTTCCGAGAGGTAAAAACCCTTGCGTTAGTTTTGCTGTGCGGAATGTACAAGTACACAGCCACGTCCAGTCAGAGTGGTCACGTTAAATCTGATGACTCGTGTAAAGAGAGTACCACGATCTCTTTGCGTTTAGAACCCGTGTAACATGCCCTCATTTTCCAGTGGCAGTCAAAATTTCCTGACGGTCTCTATTACAGACCCTACCTATTGTATTTATTGTTTATTTCTTCTCGTCCTGAACATGCATGAAATATTTGCCACTGGATATTAAACAACCAACAATTAATCAATAAATTTATAAAGTTGCTAGAATTAATCAATAATCGCACTATTGACATAGTGTAATAGGTTACGAAAAATAGTTTCGGCAACTTGTTCTATGGAAGCGTTAACCAAGGACAAAGTTTTTTAACGACCGATCACCTTTAAATATTTGTAGATAGATATGATAATTATTAGCTTATGAACTAGCAATTTGATAATTCAGCTCTTCATATAGCTCAAGCACAAAGTTTATATTCACAATATTCCTGTAGTGTTTGTTACTGCATGTTAACCCCCTCCCCCCACATCAAATTATTGCTATTTTCACAATTGTGCAATCATTGAAGGTGTATACTGCTGTGGTCCTGCTTCTTTACATGCTATCAAACGTGGAGAAGTAAACATGCCATATGACACACCATTTGTTTTCGCCGAAGTTAATGCCGATAGGGTCAATTGGGAATTGAATGAAGTTGATGAAACAAATAATGTTGGTCTGGAAAGACGTAGGTTAGTAAATATAATTAAACGAACAGCTACTTTAATTGAACCTTTAATGTGTGAGGACAGTATGTTAATTGTTTTAAAATTGCTTTTTCAAGTAGAATTTGTGAAGTAATATTTTGTTGAAATACTGTTTTTTTTTAACTATGGCCTATTCGATCATTTCCGATAGTTTTAATGAGTATTTTCGAACCTCCATGTACTAATATAATTGGAGATTGAAAGATGACCATTAATACGAATAGCTATGACTTATTTTCCCCTATTATTTTTTATTAATCTTAAAATAAAGCATTAATTTATTTCGAAACTACAAGAAAATTCAGTGCCAAAAATTAAGAACCCCGCAAAAAACGAAAATATTGGAAGCAAAGAAGAAGGATTTCGTTACCACAAATTACTTAAAACCTTTACTAAATTATTCCATAGATACAAAGATTTGGTTTGCAAGTTTGGCTGTACCTTTAAAAAACTAAATAGCACATACTAATTTTATTACAATCTGCCGATACCTATATTCAGGCATTGCACAAGGTCATGTTTTTCTTTGACTGTTAATGATGTCTTTACACTTAATCCATTGGATGTTCGATGTGTACTGATTGATATTTTAGTCTTTGTTACATGATTTTTGTTATTGGCTTTGAACTAGCTGTCAGTAGCTGCGAGTACTCTCAGATCTTTACTTAGTGTCTTTTTTGTTGTGGGATGTATAGATACGCTGCCACGTCCGGTCTGCTTTCATTAGATGTTTTCTGCTTTGAATCGATCTGATGAGTTAAGCCCTTTTCAATTGATTTGTTTAGGTTGTTTTTACGTTGTACTGTAACACCATTGTACAAGGTATGGGGAAGGGTTTGGCGTCAGCAAACCAGTTTAACCCCGCCACATTCCGTATATCTACCTGTACCAAGTCAAGAGCCTGTGGTTATGTGGTTGTCGTTGGTTCATGTCTATCATATTTGTTTTTTTTTAAATTGTTTTGTTATCAATTAGGCCGTTAGTTTTTTTCAGTTGAATTGTTTCATATTTTTCATATGCCGTACGATTGCCTATAATTGCTTACATCCACTTTATTTGATTTTGGTGGATAGTTGTCTCATTGGCAATCATACCACATCTCCTTATTATACGTCCGTCAAAATTTTGACGGGAAGTATTATGGTATACAAATGTCCGGCGTCGGTCTGTCTGTCGGTCTGTCTGTCCGTCTTTCCGGCGTCCACATGTTGCACCGTAACTTGAGAACGACTTATCTAAATTTCATGAAACTTAACATTGTTGTTTCTTATGATGGTCAAACGATCTGTATACTTTTTGGTGAAAATAAGATTAAAATTTTTTACGGGACTTTGTAACGAAAACAGGGGAAGTATTTTCACATGTCGCACTGTATCTCAAAAACGATTTATGATTATTGCTTAAAACTTTACACACTTCTTAGTTATATTAACCTAAAGATCTTTATACTTTTTGGTGATGATTCAAAATTTTATTTTAGAGTTATTGATTTTAAAAAAAATAAGGGGGGGGGGGTCACATGTCGCGCCGTATCTCAAAAACGGTTTATGATTATTGCTTAAAACTTTACACACTTCTTAATTATATTAATCTAAAGATCTGTATACTTTTTGGTGATAATTCAAAATTTTGTTTTAGAGTTATTGATTTTTTTTTTATAAAAAGGGGGGTTTTCACATGTCGCGCCGGATCTCAGAAACGATTTATGATTATTGCGTAAAACCTCACACACAAGACGACGGGCGTATCATGTGCTCGTGACGCAGCTGTTTATTTTTGTTTTATATCTTTTAATTTCTAAATTTTTTGATAGTTTACATTTTGGATTGAACTTAAGAGTGCATTGAACAAATTGTTGATATTTATTGACACATTGCATGGATTGTTTCTTTCAAGTGTTGGAATGCGAATCAGTACAAAACTACCCAAAGGAAGAACTGGCTGTGTTGAGGATTTCTGTTATGATATACAGAGGGAAGATGTAACACGAATGTATAAACACGAAGAAGGTAAATAAATATAAAGAAATAAAATGCTCATTTTGGTATGATGTTTTGTATGCGTAGTTATTTGGACAATTGAGTCTCATTTATATGCTTAAACTGTTCACCGCACACACAGTTTATCTTTTTCACATATAAAAATAAGGAGATGTGGTATGATTGACAAGACACAAATGTCCATCAAAAGACGCAGTGGAAATGATTAAAACTACTACAGGCCATATTACGGCCTTCAACAATGAATAAAACCCATATCGTATAATAAAGCTATAAAAAGCCCTGGATAAGTAAACGTGAAGTATAAAACCATAACCACGGCCGCGTTTAAACTAATAACATTAAAAACATAAAATGAAACTATAAATTATGACAGACAGCAACCAGCGACAATTACTAGACTACTGAAAAAGCACAATTAGAATGTGGCTGGGTTATTCATCTGTGTGATTGATATATCCTCCAATTCCTTGTGACAATGGTGTTACATCACAACATTGAAACAATTGTCATTGTGAAAAGGATTGCCTCGTTAGATCGGTATTAAGTACACAAGCAATAAACAAATTAATTTTTTTTGTAAAACGACATATATGTTTCAATTGTCGTAAGTTTAACCACAATCCCAACGTGTCTTCCTCTTAGATAACCTACCGAATCAGACTTATCACCAGGTTTGTACTTGACCGTGCACACATATTTAGTTTGAAGCGCTTCCGTGTATCAATCAATGAGTTCAAACCCCAATAAAAAATACCAAAAACTGTCATTTCTATTACGACATTGTAATAGAAACTGTAATAAAGATTTTACTACTAGATATTTGAATGGTATATAGGCTGATTACTACAATGATCTCTTATTGATTATAGGATCTAACGAAGAAAGAGCAGCTGTCTTACAGGCAAACCAGAGCTCAACAAAGCAAGGACTGTATGATGAAGGCAAACCATCGGTATATTTTAAGAATTATTATTTTTGTTTAAAAAACTGTTGTCTACATCTTATATAAGTGCTGTGTTTTGTTCATTGGTTGATGATTGTTCATAAAGTTCCTATATAAAGTCTATAGAAATGTTATAATTGATATATATGCTATGTTCACTTCATGAATATTATCTTACACGTGATTGAAAAAATATTTATCCTTGTTCTAACCTTATCCTTTTAGTTAACTGGTATTATGCCAATACCATTAAAAATATCTTGAAGTCGATGTATAAACAGACACGCATTAGAGAGATGGAGATAAGAGTGCAAGAACTTTTAATGGAGCGAGACTAAGTTCGTCGACAGGGTAAACATCTCCGATGCTACACCTTATTATCCATAACCAGTTTTTTATGGCCCCAAAACAAAGTTGTCGGGGCCATATAGTTTTACCCTTATCCATCATTCCGTCATTCCGTCATGAACAGTTATACGGATTTTTTTCTAAACGCCTTCACATATTGAGGTGATTTTAAGTAGGTGAGTCTATTATGATGAGTTACAAATCGAGTTTACGTTTGGTTCCGATCCACTGATTTGTGCCGAAATTAAGGGCTTTGGACTTTGAAAATTTTGTGAAAATAACAGTTATAACGACTTTCATTCTCAAATTTCCACTCCTAATAATGGCTTTAAACTTTTTATGCGAGCGGGGCCATTCGTGTAGTTCCGATACATCTAGTTAATACAAGGAAAACCACGTTTTGACATACAATTGATGAACATTGTTGATGTCTTTGAGACAAAAGGAATCCCTCGTTAAGCTGCAAATGTAAAAAAACCTCCAATAATTGACTTTATTGTAAGTCAAAGAACGTCTCGTTCTTTTTCTAAACAAGTTAAGCGGAAGATACCAAGACCTTCTTGATAAATATTCCGTATCAACTTCACAAATACTATTAACCATTACTGTTTATTCCATTTTTGGAAAATATCCTTTAGGCGTGGTTTTTTATAGTAGTTAAGATTATAACACAATGTTGACTGCTGTATCCCTATTTTTGACATTTTTACCAATTATGCCTGTTTGTTTTGTTCACACATTGTTGTCAATAAAATGGAATTTCATGCGACTGTCATGAAAGTGAGAGGTTTAGCTAGCTTTAAACTAGGTTTAATTCACCATTTTCTACCTAAGGAAATGCCTGTACCAAGTCAGGAATATGACAGTTGTTTTCCATTGGTTTGGTGTGTTTGAGCTTTTGATTTTGATAAGGGACTTTGCGTTTTGAATTTTCCTTGGAGTTCGGTATTTTTGTTATTTTACTTTTTTGTACATACAGGACGTAGAATTTGAGCTTGTCGACAAAGAGACAGTTCCTTTAGGAAATGATTTTGAAATCTTATTGAAAATAAAGAATAACAGTGATGAAGAACGCACTATTTCCGGTTGTATCAGCACGAGCAGTATACACTATACTGGTGTTCCAGCAAATAAGATCAAGACTGTACAGGTTACAGAAGAAAACGTTCGGGCAAAATCAGGCAAGTATTCGTTAAAAGAAATTTAGGATTGAAAATTATATCTTGAATGTTACAATTAGACTTGTTTTGTATTTAACTACAATTTTTCAAGCATTATTTTGAATATAGTTTCCTATATCATTTTTTGATTACTGTATTTGTCTTAATCCTTATAGCAATGGTACGTGTCCATGTCCTTCTTTGATTTGTAATTATACCCCCGCCGTAGGCGACAGGGCATTAAATGTTGCCCTTGACCTTCCTTTCTTTCGTCTTTCTGTTCTTTCGTCTTTCTGTCCGTCTGTCCCATTTTCGTATGTTTGAAACTTGAGCAGGGGCATTCATGTCCTCAGACACATTCTTCTTATATTTTTTATAACCTTTTTGGTATTGTCTTACTCTTCACAATCCTTTGAAACAAAACTTATTGTGTAATCAATTTTTGGTATTCGATTTTGCTATCTCTATACTGTTAATATGTCACAAAAATTAAAATGTGCATTTAATATAGATTATGAATTACATATAACCAGTTAACCTGTCCGTGGTAGCTCTATCAATTAACGTTTTGTTTCTCTCTCTCAATGAGAACGTTCAGTTTAATAAGAAAGAGAGATGCAGGGGAATTTGATATATGGCTATATTTTGCAGTAACCAAGACTTAGTATTCAGATTCTTTTTTTTGTAAATCGTTGGTTTTTTTTATGTGTTATCGGGTTTGCATTTTCATACTTATTTAATTTCTGTGTTTCGTTTTTGTTCATTAATTTCAACAATATTGGCATTCAGATGGTATCTATTCCATTGACTTTAATTAGTTTTCATGGCCGTAGTTACATGCATCTACTTATTCTTAATCAACCAAAACCTCTGGAAGAAATAAAAAACCATGTAACATTTTTGTAAATATTCCACATTTGAACCTAATTTTAGTTAAAAAAATTTATGTATATAGAGAAAGTGATCAGTGTGAAGGTGACATTCAATGAATACTTCCCTCAACTAGTGGAACAGTGCCATATGAAAATGTCATGCATGTGTAGAGTTTTGGAGACGAAGCATACATACGTCCATCAAGATACATTCCGTCTGCTCAAGCCTGACATTACAATTAAGGTATAAACTAGCATGTACTTCAAATTATGCTTTTTACATTCAAATGATATTTAATATGAAACCATCTTTAAATCTCAGTTTTCGTTGGCATATTCTTCATTTCTATAATGTTTGGGCTACTTCCTGTTGGTAACTGAAGTTGTAAACATGTAATGAAGGCACGTCCTTATTAAATTGTAATCATGAGCATATGCATTGCACATGCATTGCACATCGTTAACCATGACGTACTATTGGCAACCTTTCCAGTGGTAGCGTAAGTCTTTTAGAACAATCTTTGCAGAAGGAATACAAGTCTTTGCTGACTTTCATTCATAAGTCATATCAGAAGTCCATTACTAGAGTCCATCTGGGCATGTTTAAACATGACTTAAACTAATAAAAATAACGTAATTAAGGGAGTACCCAATACTTTGACAAAAATAGATTTGACTCGTTATATTTTCATAAAATTTTGATAAAATATCAACTTTGACCTGTGGACAAAGATATAAAAAAATAAAGAAATTTGAACCACACAATTTACAGGAATATTTTCATTGGAATATATAGCAGTTTGACAAACACTAATTTCGATCTTTATTATTACATTTTGTACTATGATTAAAACGTTCAACTGATTTTAGAAGAATTAACTCTATTAGGTGTTATGTACCCCTTCATGTTTTGGAAATAATTTATACTTCAAGTACAATGTGCCATGCTTAACCATTTATCTTTGGTAAATGACAATTTTTTTTAATTTGAAAACATGTCTACCAGGCACCAGCTACCGGGAAGATTGGACAACTAATCAAAGCAAACGTTTCCTTTACAAATCCAATACCATGTACTCTGACAAATTGTTCGTTAACGGTGGAAGGGCCAGGGCTACAGGAACCTAATGTACTAAAACAAAGGTATGATTTATGAAGTATATTACATTACTAGTGGGTTTATACATGTAGATATTTAATTAGTTTCAGACATCTTCAGCTTGTTAAAACCAAAGTTGTTTACATGTTAGACCTACGGGATTCATATGCACAAATTACATCTAACGTCACCTGTAAAGCGGTAGCATTGAATTACAAGTTTGCCTTAGACGGTTTTGGCTGGTCAGTTAAGGCCCTTTGATTAAGTGGTCATTTGGGGTTGATTTTGATGTTCCTAAAAGTTAATTGTTAATTTTCAAACTTTTGCTCTCGAAAGAACTTGGAGAATGTTAAGAAAGAAGTGTCATTTTGACTGAAATCCGTATCATACATTTATACTGGTAAACTATCTAACAATAAGGAGATGTGGTATGATTATGTGACAACCATCCATCAAAGACCAAATGACAAAGATGTGAGCAATTACTGTACCAGTTTACAATACGGCCTTCAACAATGTGCAAGCGCAAACCATAAAGTAAATCATAAAAATTCCTCGGGCTAACAAAATGTGAAATAATATAAAAAAACAACAACGACCTGATGTGTAGTACAACAAATAAACGAAAAACAATGAAAGACAGCAACTATAATGACAACCACTGGACTAACAGGCCCTTGTCTTGGAACAGGCAGATAGACAATGACTTGTTTTAAAAAGTTTGTATGAACTCAAGCCTCAGCCAACCTTGTACAGTGGTGTACAACACAACGTAAAAACAAATTTTAAAAACAATTAGTTTGGAAGGGCTTGAATCCTCAGATAAGTAGTAAGCACCAAATCAAATAACAAAAAGACAAAAGTCACATATTAAAGTATAGTACCGATCTAAGGGTACTCGCAGTAGATACTGAAAGCTAGTTTCAACTGATAGATAAACCATGTTCTCCTAGACTAAAATATAAATATAAATTAGTACACTGCCGACTTACTTAGAGTTAAGACATTATGTGTAGTCTGAGAAAGCATGTATTTTTGCAATGCCAAAATATAAGTATCGACAGGATGTTAAACCATAAGTGTTAGTAAATGTACAGCATAGCGAACGATTTGGGAAATAACCACACTGTAAAGAACATCACCTTCCAATAAAAGTTCTTTTGTCGAACAATTTAGTATAGAGCTTCCCATGTTAAACTGAAATATCCTATCAAATCAAGAAAAGGAGAACTATTGCTATTTGACATGGAATTTATTTAAGTCAGTTCCTTAGGATAAATTAGTTGTTGCTTTGTGTTAAAGGTTGCAATGTAACTTAGAGACAAAGAACAGCAAAGCAATTGTTGCTCCTTTGCTAACGGTTTTGTCAACTGCGTGTAGGAATTTTCTGTCATTAATTAACACGCCATATCTATTCATCTTAGTTGCAAAAATAACTGATGCAGTTTGTGACTAACAGTTTTAAGCCATCATGATGATAAAAATGGTTTAAATCCGGTAACAGCAACCATTTGTTTAAGACATTCATATATTAGCTTCTGTAAAATGAAGGCATATTTTCTGTTTCACAGATTGTGAAGTTCATTTCATATAGTAGATTTACATCGGATATGTTCCTTATGTCGTAACTACAATACCCTTCCCTTTTCACGAATGTGACCTACCGAATTTGACTATTTACCGGATTTGTAATAACATAAGCAACACGACGGGTGCCAAATGTGGAGCAGGATCTGCTTACCCTTCCGGAGCACCTGAGATCACCCCCAGTTTTTGGTGGGGTTCGTGTTGCTTAGTCTAGTTTTCTATGTTGTGTCATCTGTACTATTATTTGTCTGTTTGTCTTTTTATTTTTGGCCATGGCGTTGTCAGTTTGTTTTCGATCTGTGAGTTTGACTGTTCCTCTGGTATCTTTCGTCCCTCTTTTACAATAAATTCTATAGTCTGGTAACTGAGGTTAAATTCAACTAACTTCTTTTTTCAGCATTGTAGCCAGTAAACAGACGTTTATGGCAACCATTGAGTTCCTTCCACGTAAGGCTGGCGTGAAGGAGCTAGTCGTCGCGTTTAATTCAAGAGAATTAGCAATGGTGGAAGGATCTTGTGAAATTACTATCAGCGCTTAAGTGATTGATCTTCTTGATTTTCATTTTGTTCTTTTAAGACATATTTTAGAAATGCTTTAATGTGATTAATTTTACACTTTTTATAATATTTAAGGCAGCTTATTACATTTTTGATACGCATTGTATTGGATCATATATATGTAAATGAATGTGTTTTTATTAGTTTAAAAATAAAATATACTGCAGTTTACACCTGTTCTCAGCTGCAGCAAGAATAATTGATCATTTTCTTGTAAAAGCATCAAACTTTGCACAGGGTTAGTTATGATGGTAATATACATTTTTGAATATAGGGCCACGAAAAAAAAAATCCAATATGGCCGCCAAATTGAAGATTGCCGACATAAGGTACTGAAAATACAACAGCATACACTTGATGAAGTATACCAATACGCACGAGTTCACTACATATTCAACCATAGTATGAAACAAAAGCCCAGGGTATACGCTTTTATAAATATCATCAGGTTTTGCAGCTTCGTTGTTCCCTTTTCTTCTCACAATTGAAAAATATACCCATACCTCATGAACTAGAGGCTCTAAAGAGCCTGTGTCGCTAACCTAGGTTTATGTGCATATTCATCAAAGGACACTCTCCAATACTGTAGACGAGAATAGAATTTATGACAAAAATCTCTTGTTTGTTGATCTTGTATTGCTGATCATTTTGTCTGTTTAGTTTCTCTCTATCTTCTTTAGTTTTTGCTCAAAACACAAAAGAGGGTAAAAAAAAATCCTCATTTAAGGGCAATCACTCCTACGAAGAGTGATAGTCTACTAACTATATCGGCAAAATTTGACTTGTTTGTGAATCTTGCCTTGCTGATAATTTTTGTCTCGCCTTGATGGAGTCAAAAAGCGAGACATGGGTATGCTGTTTCCGGCGGCGGCGGCGTCAACAATGTATTCGTTTGTGATTAGTTCTAGTTTATGGTGAACCACTAGTGGTAGATCAATGATATTTGGTATGCAGTTGTATTAGCATTGGCACATCTCATTACCAATGGGATTTTTTGGCCCGGCCCCCTCAGTCACGGTCTATTGACTGTGGAACTTTAACATAGTTTACATGTATTAGTTTGTGATTAGGTCAGTTTAAGATGAGCCACTAATGTTAGGTCAATGATATTTGGTATGCAAATGTATTGGCATTTGCAAGTTTCATTTCCATGGAGATTATATAACCCCACCCCCTCATTATGGTTCAATGACTTTGAAACTTTTACATAATTTACAAGTTAATGTATGTGTTTAGGTTTGTTTAAAGGGAACGACTTATGAAAAGTCAATGGTATGTGGTATGCAATTGTATTAGCATTGACACATCTCATTTCCATGGAGATTGTTTAGCCCTGTACTCTCAGTCATGGATTATTGACTTTGAATATTTGCATAACTTACATGTTAAAGTATTGCTATCTTAATTTCAACATTTGCGTTATCAAAATAATAAAGAGGCAAGACATATATCTGTGTAAAACAATTTATTGTTATTTAAAGTTTCTATTTATCTATTATAACTATTATCATATAAGGCAAAATGCAAAAAAAATTGTAAAAATCGTCATTAAGGGGCAATAACTCAAATAAGGAGTCGTCGGAAAATTTCCGCCATATGGTCTTTAATATAGATCTTGTCTTGCTGATCATTTTGCTCATTTAAGTTTCTATTTATATATTATAATTTTTAAGATGTAAGGCAAAAACGCAAAAAAATTGGTAAAAATTGTCATCAAAGGGCAATAACTATAAATAGGAGTCGACTGACGATTTCAACTATGAAAACTTGTTCGTAGATCTTGCCTTGCTGATCATTTTTGCAATTTAAAGTTTCTCTCCATCTATTATAGTTAACAAGATAAAAGGCAAAATTGAAAAACAAAATGGTAAAATTTGTCATTTAAGGGCAATAACTATAAGAAGTTGCCGGACAGTTTTGACGTCAATGAACAATTGGTAGAGTTAACATTCTGAACATTTTTGTCCTTGTCAGAATTTTTCTATTTATAACGGTTTTCAAAATAAAAGACATAACTTGTACTTTACCCCTATGTTCTATTTCTAGCCATGTCGGCCATCATCGGATACATTTTGTAAAAACTAGATACCCCAATAATGATTGTGGCTAAATTTGGTTAAATATGGCCCAGTAGTTTCAGAGGAGAAGATTTTTATAAAGGTTGACGACGACACACGACGACAGACGACGACGGACGCCAAGTGAAGAGAAAATCTCACTTGGCCCTTTGGGCCAGGAGAGATAAAAATAAGGTAAAAATTGGAAAATATGAAAATCCAAATTTTTTCAATCTTCTTTGTATTCTTACTTCAAAAATTGATTCAAATAGGTCAAATGCTGCAAAATATATCCAGCTTTACAATAACTATCAGAATACATCAAATTTTCAATTAGTTATTATATTTTATGTTAAAGGAACAATGAATAATTACATTTTTGTCGATTTTTCATAAGGTAGGTGTACATATTTCTATTGTGAAAAGAATTGTGAAAAACAAAGCTGAAAACCTAATATTTTAGAAAGCTAATATCCTGGACGTTTTTTTGATACCATACATAAATATGTACTGAAATTTAGAAGATTGGTAGACATCATCAAGTATATGCTGTTGTATTCCAAGGTCTTTGTGTCGGCCATCTTTAATTTGACCGCCATATTGGATTTTTTTTTCGTGGCTCCATATCCCCAAAAAATATTTAAGCACCATAATAAAAAATGTTTCATGCTTTTACCATAAAGTTATCAATTATAGGAAATGAAAGGATATGGAGTAAATGTACATGGGACAAAATCGCACACAATACATAGAAAACATAGGAAATTATCAATGAACAGGGCTTTTATTCCTGTTCTTCATCTTGACAGTTGATGTAGGGTCTTCAACGATGAACGAATCATTCATACCCTACAACAAGGTCAAGACGGCCCCTAGCGTCGACTTAAGCGGTACTATTGATAAAAATAAACCACAGTTCACCTTCTTGCTACCCACCCGCCTCGAAGTGCAAACTTATGCGATGCTTGTGTACGACGGTTCTCCAGTCGAAAGCATCAGAGATACAAGAAAAGTTCAGTAATTTTGAAAGACATCGATCGCCTCTAAAATATGCCTTTTTGAAGTTACACATGTCGGGAGCCGTCAATGAATTACATAATTTATAATTACGAGCGAGGTTTTTCAACATATATTTGTCATACATTGCCTAAAAAAAGACCAATAATTTCGAAACAACAAATGATAGACAATACATACAAAACTAAACAACAAATGATAGACTGCACGAGGCACATTGAAATATATATAAAAAAAACCTAGCAGTTTAAAATAGTATGAAAGGGCAATATACAAAACAGATGATCAGACCAGTATTTTGAAGAAATTTAACCAAACATGAAATTTTTGACGGTGTATCAATATGAGAAATTCTCACATGAACAAGCACACGATAACTGTAAATATTATAAGTACCAATATATTGCACTTGGCTGCTGGACTACATTGTTCGTGTAGGTTTTAAATGCTTGTTTATGTTTATGGTCTAAATAGGAAAAGAGAGTTGGTTCATATGTAGTGATGTAACCCAACCTCATTGTGTGCCTGTATCAAGTCAGACTAACAGTGCACACGTCGCCTTTTGCTTCATGCAAATGTGAATTCCGTGTTGAAGGCCTCACTGTGACTTTGATATGAAGAACAGCAATAAAAGCGCTGTGCCTTTGCTTTTTGCTGTGCTTGTACTGATTTTGTGTCATGGATGGATACCCATATTCTTTGTTTTTCTATCAAAATGCTATAACATGATATATGCCAACCCTAAGTCGATATCAGACCTCGCGCAAAAGGCCTTATTGGCTGATATCGATCGAAGATTCGTACAGAACACGACAAGTCTTTTTAAATATAACGCTCACTTTAACATATTTAAACATGCCAATTGTAGAAGAATTTCAAACAGGGTAACACATTTATAATACTGGGTATATGATTAAAGGGGCGTAATACACCATAAGCGATTCGGGGTATGCCATAAGAGTATGCAATAGGGGTATGTGATAAGGGTCTGCGATAAAGTGTATGTGATGAAAGGTATGCTATGTACACATAAAATTGAGAATGGAAATGGGGAATGTGTCAAAGAGACAACATGTATATATGATAAATGTTTTATTTTACTAACTGTATCAAATATTCAAAACAGTAGTGTAAACCGCTAAATATATGATAAATCAACTCATATGAACATCAACAATATGAATAAAGATCAGAGTTGACAACAATAACAGTATTATAACTTGCTGTTCTCAATGACATTTTCCTGCTTCTCAATGGGAACTTTTTTCTTCGAAAGTAAAAATGCTATTCTACAGATAATTGTAAAGATCACCAGTATTATGACATTAAACATTCCAAATATCAGAGGAAACATAGCAATTTTTGTGGATTCCTCAAGTTTAAATGAGACGAAAATTAATGTCAAACAAAGAGCAACGTTCTGTGATGATACCTCAATAGCAACTGTTCGACATTGATTTCGGGTAAGACATGATGCCCATGCCCCTAGATACCCGATCAATAGACCAAATATAGGCATCAGTGATGCTGAGCACCATAACTTCCATCCTGCGTCAAACATTTGTGGATAGATATAAAAGTTGATACCTGTAACAAGTAGAATAAAGAGAAAGCCTATGCCCCCTCCAATCTGAAATGTGAATAAAAATAGATTAATTTAATTAAACTTATATAATAATTGTTGCATTGAACACCAAAGAATCTGAGAATACAAAATATGCTTATTCTTTCGGACCTACTTCTTCCATCTATTTATGTGTGTGCGTGTGTGATGTTAAAATTCTCTTAATTGTTATTGTTTTTTACGTGTTTTTTTAAATTGTTTGTTGGCTTTTTTTCTTTTCTCTTTTTTAGTATTTCCATTGATTGGTGAGACAGAGGCTGCTAACCCGATTTCATTTGTGTCTGTTCGTCTCTGACGTGATAACTTTAAAAATGCTCACTAGTATTTATATTTTCTAGTGATAAATGATCGCAGAAATTGCATGTAAGGAAAGTGTCCCTATACATTACTTTTTTGTTGTATGTAAAGTGTAGAACCCTTTTCTCTTATCATCAGGCAATAATTTTATTTTCCTGATATATTCCTGTTGTCTATTGTTAAGCGTATAAATGTTAATTGCCTGGAAGTAGTATCTAGAGATTAAACTTACATTGACAACATTTGCTGCAACTTTCGGCAACTTTCTGAGGATAAGCATTCCTACAGATACTGGTATCAAAATAAGGACCAGACCAGAAGCTATTTTGACGTAAGGAATTGTCAAACAATGGGTCGAAAAACTGCTGGAGTATATATATAGATTCAACGGCATCATACCTACAGCAAGTGTGGTCGCCAATGATGTCATACAAACGCTGCAACACGAAATATATAACAATTTTTAAATGTCTAATTATCAAATACTAGTAGATGATGATAGAAAAACAAGAGGCTATCAAGAGCCGGAATCGCTCACCTGTAGTTTTTTATTTAAATTTTTCATCAAAGTTTTTCTTTTGCTTTTAAGTTTTTAAGTTTTTAATGTATAATAATTAATAAATGTGGACACAAACCAGTGTGTATAGTATCCAGCATTCTGAGAGTATTGCATGGCAATTAGGAAAGATGATCTAAAAACAATAAACGAAAAGCAAATATGAAACACAGCAACAAATGACAACTAATAAAAAAATATTGGATTTTAAGTTGTGCAAGGAGGGATAAAATTCATGTACTGTATCCAAACCCTGTCTTTAACATGGGACTGTGGTGTCACAGCACACCATAAGAACAAACATTTATTTTTTTTAAATAGACTTCTTATATGTATGAGTGTGTTTTTTTTATTGCATATTAGCTAGAGGTACAAAATTTATTGGTGATAGGTTAAATCTCACAAAACATGTATAACTTGCTGAATTTTTGTGCATATCCTAATTCAGGAACATCTAGGTAGCTTTTGTTAGTCTTGTATGTTTTTTTTTATCTTGGTTCATATTTGTTTTGAAGTGTAGTGACGTCCATTTTTTTGTGCTAGTATACATTAATGAATAAGGCCCTGATCAAGCCTCAGTTTATCTTTATCTATAATAATATTCAAGATAATAACCAAAACTGCAAAATTTCCTTTAAATTATTAATTCAGGGGCAATAACCTAAAAATCAGTTATCCAATTTGGCTGAAAATTTCAGGGCAGTTAGATATTGTCCTTATGAACACTGTAACTCATTGTCAGATTTGCTCTAAATGCTTTAGTTTTTGAGATATAAGCCAAACCCTGCATTTTACCTCTATGTTCTATCTTTATCCATGGCGGCCATGTTTTTTGACGAAACAGAAAATAAAACACAAAGTTTATACTAGATACCCTAAGAATCATTCAGCTTAAGTTTTGTTGAAATTGGTTCAGTAGTTTCAGAGGAGAAGATCTTTGAAATAGTTTACACCGGACGGACGACAGATGACAGACGACGGACGCCAAGTGATGGCAAACGCTAAAAGGAAATGTGAGCTAAAAAACCACTTTAAAACAATATTTTCTGGTTGAAAAGAGGAGAAAAATAGTATACGACACTGAAATAAAGTGTAAAATATGAAATCTGAGTAAAAATGACGTCAAAGGAAGGATACTAGGTTCCTTAATTACGTGTGTTATTTATGGAACTACTCGTGGTGACATATGTCGTACGCTTCATAAATAAATGTCTAAAAACATGAAATGTAAAGATTTAAGTTATTTTTTAAAGCCATAGCAAAAATATTAATATTATGACGTTGAACCTATAACTAAAATCTTCTATTTTGTCAAGTTTATTAAATTGTTGGTTGTTTTTTGTGTTTGCGAACCCCAACAAAAACTGGGATGATCTCAGGTGCTCTGGAAGGGTAAACAGATCCTGCTCTACATGTGACACCCGTCGTGTTGCTCGTGCTAGTACAAACCCGGTCATAAGTCTAATTCGGTAGGTCAAATTCGTGGAAAGGGGGACTTTTATTGATATAGTTAGATTAAATATTTTGTTTGGAGCACCACTGGAATTCTTATTAAATGTACTTTAGTGTTAATATTTAAACAATACGATTATGTTGTCGTATTGGGATGTTTTGATAAACTACAAGTAGGTCGAAAAGCTTCATTTAGCGATACAATTGCATACCTTAAAACTACTTCTCCGGAACACCAGTATGTTATTAGATTCGACAAACTTCCCCCTGGACAGGTACCGAGTAGGAGCATCCCCAGAGCATTGTACTGATCAAGCTGAAATGCATGAACCAAGCCGAAAACCACTAATGGATAGACTATAAACTGTAATGCCATTCCGATAAGAGCCGGAAGTGGTTTTTTGATCTGTTGGACCAGTTTATCTAATTCAATGGTACAACCAAGTGACATCATTATGATTGCAAGAAGAACAATCAAAAGAGAACTCGTGAGCCTCTTTAATACTACTATTGTAGGATCAGTTACTACATCTTGTGTTGTCACGGTAATGTTGAATGTTGTGTTGTTGTTGTTGTATGTTGTGTTGTTGAATGTTGTACTGTTGAATGTTGTACTGTTGAATGTTGTGTTGATCAAAACTGCTGTCGTCATTTCACTGACTACATCTGTCATCGTCAAATCAATATTGACAAACTAATGATTTATTATCTGAAATACAAACAAATGTGTCTGAACATTAATGATGCTTTAAAAAATACGTTCAGTTCTTACTGAAAAGTAAGAATGTCATCTCACCAAGTGTTTCTTTGCCGATTAACACTACTATTATTTTTAGAAGCCCCTGTATGAAGTCTGTCACATGCGCACAACGGAATAAGTCGACTAGAGAACAGTTGGTATTCCAACGGAAATACAAACATCCTCGCCCTTTGGTCTCTGATGGAAAGTTGGCTCTGCAATCGTACCACATCGTTTTAAATTCATATACAGCTTTCAGCTCGGATTTTGTCCGTCATATGCTTCTCAGACATGTTAACATTAAAAAAGATGACACGGAAAACGTCCCCCTCTAAATTATTCTCTTGTCAACAACTTCTTTATGTTATTTATTAAGACAATATCCTTCAACATAAATCTTTGAAGTCTAAAATACCTCCCAATTTTGAAGATTACTTATTTCAAATCATCTAGCTGTTACATGTATACTTATAACACTACTTTTACAAATAAGGTTTTCAATTACAAACACGTATTACAGGATGTCAATATTGAAGATTTATAGTCTAAACTTTAGATGTGCATCTGTGTAAGTACCACATTTATATTATAGTCCTGAAGGCCACAATGCTGACCTAACAATTGTAAAAAATGTGTTGACCATAAGTATGAACCTTTATGTTTAAAAGGAGGATGTGCATGGTATCCTTCTTTGTTAGAAATAACTCAAAATGTTCCATGAAAATTACTTCGTTGAATTGTCATATTTTGATTTACTTTTTTTTTATTTTCACATTACATGTGTGTTTCATTATAATACGTTATATTGATTGGCTAACAGCAATCTCGCGTCATTCTGAAATTAACCTTCATTTCAAAATGAAATGTAACATTCATGATGACACGAGCTTCCACAATAAAGTGCACAGGTAAATAAAGAAAAACTTGATAGAAATCGTGTTTTCATGATCCTAGCAAAAAATGTAATTATAAGTATTGAATGCTTCTTTTAGTAATCTTATAGGGTTATAAAAGCGTTGACCGTGCGCACATTTTAGGCACTTCATACAAAATGTACTTCGGTCAACGCTTTTACACCCTAATAAATTTACAAAAAGAAGCATTCAATTCTTAAATAAACCTTCAGAATTACAATGGTAATTAACAAAGGCATATTTCTATCACCTCAAGAAAATCAAGCAAACCCTGCACATGACAGTTACTGGTGCTTCTCGGGAAGAATTTTAATGTGCCAGTACAATGTACTATCCCTTTATTTAACTTCGGTTATGTGCCTTATCGTTTTATTTGACTTCCAGTCTATTCAGATATCACAAACGTACAAATGGTAGCATCAGTTGATCTTAATTGCATATCGTTTTTCAATCGAACTGTCTAACTATTTAACTTGACTGTGATGAGTGTCGTCGCTACCAAAATATCTTAGTCTTGTATTTTACATTCTTCAAAATATTATCCCTTTAGACGTAATATACATGAGGGTGTGGATGGGGGTTTATAGAATAGAGAATAATGGGCAAAAAATAAAAAAGATTAGAGAAAAATTAAAGAATACAGAAATGAAGGATCTCCTTCCAGGCCCTCATACATACTAGTTTTGATGTCCTTATCAAACCCACTATGTTTTGAAGCATGTGTTTGGCTTCTCTATCGTTTGGTCTCGGAAGTACCTCACGCGTCATTTAGTCGTAATTTATGAGTATTATTTCGGAAACACTTGTCATGCAGTACTGAAATTGGTTAATCTGTTAACTATTGTGTTGTTTTGCCCCAACGGCACACGCCAAGGTTTCATTTGTTTAATTGATGTGTTTGCTTAACGTCCAGTGGCAAATTAGCAATAAATTATACAATAGGTATATTTTCAGGTTCAGCAGAGTGGCTCGACCGATATGACGGGCAGATTCCGACTGCCGCTGGAAAATGAGGGTATGTTGGACAAGGGCAGACATATTGTCTTGCAAGATGCCCCCTAAAAACCCATCGAGTTATTGCAAGGGTTCTTTAACCGGCTTCTTACATAACGTACGCGTATCAATTCCTTTTCCGACCGGACGTGATTGCGTAATTATACATCCAATTTAGGAAACGGACATCCCAGCGGTGGGAGTTATACACCTTAAACAGAGAAACGTGTACAAATTTCTATATCCAGGGGGAGGTTTTATCGAGGGGATGAACGTTGAAGGAGTAATTTAAAAGAACATGAAATGAAAACTTAGTGGGATCGAAAATTTAGCCTTAGTATTAGTCCCTTTTGAAACTGTTCTACAAATTTAATTATGATTGAAGAGTCATTTCAGTGTTAGGGTTGTCGCTGCGAATGTTGAGGAGTAGGTGAATCTGGGTATTATTTCTAGACACCGGTGTTAAAGGAGATGTACATATATAGGTTATACAAAATGTACGTCATTGAGGCAACAGCTCAACCGCTAGAAAATCAAAAGAATGCAGTCACAGGATTCTAAAGATTTATTTTCGTCAATGCCTAGGCCATTTTTTCTTCATTCATCAAAAAGTCCTGCCTTATGGAGAAAACCTTGAATAACAAATATAATTTTTCAATCAAAATTTACTTCGGTTCAAAGTAGAAATTAAGAGTCTGTATTCCTTCTCTTTAGGCTATAATCTAATTTTATCATACATTACGTAGTTCATTAAATAAACAATGTTTAATTTTATCATACATTACGTAGTTCAATAAATAAACAATGTTTTATTTTATCATACATTACGTAGTTCAATAAATAAACAATGTTTAATGTTATCATACATTACGTAGTTCAATAAATAAAAAAAATGTTTATGCAACTTATAATTGCGCAAAGCTTTCATAATGTATTGCCGATGTTGTTGTTTTTTCTTGGGAACAAAATTTTGTCAACTTCAATAAAAAGTTAAACTTATTTTTTCAGTGAAATACAGGAACAAGTACAAGAATTTGCTTTTTTCACATCAACATAAAAATCACAAACATAGTAGAGGACCATCATATGATCATTCAGACAAAGTATCCATTTAATCCATCAAACAATTTATAATAAGATGCTTGTATTTTCCCCTATTGGTCCTGTGCTAACTATGTCATGCAGTGATATAAATTTTGAATTTCCAATCAGCATCAAATTACAAAATTAGTACAGAACAATGATACTCATGCAATCATTCAAGCATATTATCAAATCAATATTTCAAACGGTTTCAAAGGAGAAGTTGTTTGTGTTTATTTCCCATAAGGTTCTATATCGTATGTAACTTTATTATACTTTACGTTAAAATGCCTGATTTTGATTGGTTCATAAGAGGGAGACAATTTACTCTATCTCATGGCTCAGCGGGAGATAATTTTTTTGAATGTCACCCTCTCGTACGGACAAATAAAAAATCGATAATTCAAAAGACAATGCATTGCATTTACATCAATGATACTAAAGATAAAGCTAAAGTTTACTGGTTTTTTTTAATGACCGTCACTGTAAATACAAAAAATAAAAAAATTCTTGCTTCATTTTTATTATTTTAGTACAACTGTAACGTTGCTTTGTAAACGACTTCATAGATGATTACTTTTAATTTAAGTTTAAATAACAATAATGATAGGACATTCAGTATAATAAATTAAATAACACATAGCTGAGAGGGTGATAGAGCAGATAATTACCTTTCGAAAAAACATTGTCAACCTTGGCTCCGCCACGGTTGACAATGTTTTCTCGGGGTAATAATCTGCTCTATCACCCTCTCAGCTATGTGTTATGTATATAATGTCCCATGGTGGCGGCGTTTTGGAATCGCAATCAGCACCAAATTTGTAGAGGACAACCTGTAAATTAGAAGTTCATTTGGACTTGCAGTTTTGAACGAAAAGATTTTTGAAATTTTAGCCAATCAGAACAAATTATTGGGCCTAAAAGCCGTGTTGAATATTCGATCGGAACTAAAACCAATTCCCATGAACATTGATTCTATGCTTGGTTTTATTAGGTTAAATGGTTTTAGAAGAGAAGATTAAAATGGAAAAAGTTAACGAACGGACGGACGCACGTCGGATTCAAAATGATAGCGAACACTGAACCTGGCTTTTAGCAAAGTGAGCTAACAGAAGAAAAAAAATGATGAATTGTGCATGTCAACTGCTGAAGCAATGAATACAGGGTATGCTAACTGGAGACTTACAACCCACAACAGTGACATCAACCGAACTATTTTTCTGTTAAAATCAAATAATTAGAATATTTTTTTAGTTTTAGTCTCGACAATAAAAATGACCACAGTGTTTTGTAATTCTATTTTCATTAACGTGAACTTAAGGTTCTGTTAAGTTAAAATGCACGGCTGCTGAACAAAATAACAATTAAAAAAACGTGGCACAATTTTATAATTTAAAAAAATCCAACACGTACATGAAATATTAAAGGTTTATGAAGTTTCGTCCATGTTCCATGCAAGATTTTAATCTCGGTTTATCATTAAACCGTACAAGTTAACTTTGACATGCAGATTATATATTCTTCATCTCATATTTCTAATGATACATGTATGATGAATTAGATGTTTATCGGAACCCTTCAGGTTCGTGGTTTTTTTTTTATCGGGAAGTTTTCTGGGTAAAAAAAGCCTGGGAATGTTATAAATGATTTACACTCAACTTGTCTTAATAATTCTCAATAATCTTCAATACATTGTTTCATATCTCGAAGAATATTCGTTAAATA